ACCAAGCCCAAGGTGGTCGAGGAAGGTGAAGCGGCTCCGACTACCGACTCGCCCGCGCCGGTGAAGCGTGGGCGCAAGCCCAAGGTGGTCGCCGAGTCGGCGCCTGTCGACGCTGCTCCTGTTGCTGCTGTGGCTACCACCGAGGTGTCACCCGCCCCCAAGAAGCGCGGCCCCAAGCCGAAGGTTGCCGTCGCAGAAGTCGCTGCTGAGGGCGCTGCCGCAACGGTCGTCTCCCCTGTCCCAAAGAAGCGCACGCCCAAGGCCAAGGTGGCTGTCGAGGCACCGACCGTTGTCAATGTAGCGACGGCCCCGACGCCGAAGAAGGCCAGCCCCAAGCCCAAGGCTGTTGCGGCGGTGTCGACCGAGGTGGTAGCGGCGGTTGTATCGCCGGAACCCACCAAGGCCTCGCCCAAGGGTGCGGCGCCGGTGGTGACCCCGGTGGCGTCGCAGGTCACCGAGTCGGAGGACGATGCGAAGCTCTCGCAGAAGAAGCCTTCGCCCAAGGCGGCCGAGCCGAAGAAGCCGTCGCCCGTGGCCGCGGAGAAGCCGTCCAACAAGCGCAAGGCGATTGCGATGGAGATGCAGAAGCGCGTGATCGAGGACTCGTCGTCGGACGATGATTTTGACGACCTCAAGCCCGTCATGCCGCTCAAGAAGAAGGTGGTCGCGTCATCGACGCCGCAGCCCAAGACGACGTCGGCCCTGGACGCCGCCGTGCGCAAGGTCAAGCTCCAGATGCCAACGAGCTCAACGGACGAGACCGAGTCCGACTCGGACGTGGTCAAGAAGCCCAAGGCGCACAAGAAGCGCGAGTCGGGCGCGAGCAGCATGTTTGGTGCGATCGTATCGGCCAACCGGCTCAGCCTCAGCGGCGAGCTCGGCGCGCTCTCCAAGACGTCGAGCAACCCGTTCAAAAAGAGCACCAAGAAGACAACGTTTGCGTTGTAGTCCTATATCTTGGATCGACAGTAGGAATAGTAGAGTTTGTTTTTGCGCCAATCAATTGTCGACTGCACTCGTCACAAAGCGGCGCAAATGTTGACCGGTTGCATCGTATGCGCCGGCCAGTTGGCGTGTCAACAATTGCTCTCGCAGCCAACGCAACTCGTTCGATGAGCCAACTCGCTCATCGACTGGGATATTCCTAGATAGTACGTAGAATGAGCGATTTTGTTTGGAAGAAATCAGCTTTCCAAACTGCCAGTTCTAGATGCGATAGAAGTCTCATAGCTCCTCGCTGCTGCACGGACGCTCTGTATATATGTATATATTTACCTACGTAGCATCGTCCCTCTGGGCTGGTCTTCCACGGGGCCGCGTGGTTGCGTTGCGCTCGTCGAAGACAGTACGACCCACCGAGCTGCCAGCGTTGTGAAGGGTCGATTCAACGCAGGTACCGTATATTGGGATGGGATCGTTGCTGCACTGCAATTGTTGACTGGTTTTGCGTCCCCAACAATTGCAGTGCCGCGCGGATTGCCGAGCCCATTTTGCTTTTGCCATGGACGCTGCGACGGTGACTTCTCTCATTGCGTCGGTCGTCGCCGCCATCCAAGCCCACGCCAAGGTGGCTGGTGACGAGAGCGCGCTCACGATCACGGTCACGGACGGCGTCGTCTCGATCAACGCGGCCAACGGTGCGTGCGCGGTCGCCGGCTGCTCCAAATTCGCCAAGCTGCATGGGCACTGCATTATGCACTGGCACACGCAAGGCTGCAAGAGCCCGCGGTCGCCGGTCACGCCGGCCGAGCCGCCGACCATGAGCCCGAGCGGCCCGACGCCGATGACGCGCATCGTGTGCAAAGCCAAGCCGGCGCCGGCCACGCGCATGTGCAAGACGCCGGGGTGCCAGTCGTACGCGCGGCGGTTTGGGCGCTGCTCGCGGCACGGCGGCGCCAGCCTCTGCACGGTCAAGGGCTGCTCGACGCCATCGCAAACCGGCGGGCGTTGCCGCGTGCACGGCGGCGGCAGTCAGTGCAAGGTCGCCGACTGCACGACATTTGCCCGCCTCCATGGGTTCTGCCTCGAGCACTACGAAGAGACATTGAAGCAAGCTGTGAAAGCCAGCGACGACTAGATCGAGATATTCTGGTCAAATATTTAATCATATTTGGAGTAATATCAGTCGTACATGTAATATAGAACCGGCGTTCGATATTCTCGATCGACGGCCAATGGGACGACGTGGTTTTTCGAACAAGCCGAATGGTTTCAGCAATAAGTTGGTGCTCGCCAGCGATGGTCCCGCCGATATAGAAAAGGGAGAAACGAGCGGAGCGGCCGCTCGACCCAAAGATACGCGCTGTGTAGCGTCGTTACCTGCGTAGTGTTGCTTGTGGGAGCGTGCGAGCCCGAAACAGCCAAACACCGGCGATCTGTTCCGACCAATTGAAGTACGTCGCTACAAAATGCAAGTGCATTCCCGCCCAGCCATAAACTGCTACTTTGGTGATAACGAAAAACGTCTTCTCGATCTGGGGCTCAATCAACACGCTGTCTCTCGACCCCTATTGATGGAAGCACATGAGTATTGGCTCCACCACAGTCACGTACGGTGATACATTGTCGTGCGAGTAGCTGCCATTTTGGTGCTTTCAACCATCGCCAAGAATAAGAAATAAGACCGTAGTTTGCTGAACGTAGGACGGCGCTTCATAGTGGTGCCTCATGCAGCATAGATAGTTAAATTGTCCAGCATGCGAGAAAGACGTCCAAGCAACGCCTGAGCCAAAGAAAGATCTGCTTTTTGCCCAACCAAGATCTAGTACGCGGTTCGAACCCGCACAGCAATTTTTCGTTATCGTTGTTGCCAAGATTTCAAAGCAAATCGACGAGCGCTGCTCCATACAGCATATATTTATATATCCATCAAGTGCAAGTGCGTCGGTCGCGGTCGGCGCTCGGAGACGATCAGGACGCGACGCTGCAAATGCGCAAGCCAGAGGCGAGTGGCCAGCAAGTCAGTTCCGCATTGGCTTCGAACTACGGATACATCCGAAGATCGAAGGCGAACTGCGAGTTTGATTGGCCAAGCGGCGGACTTCCGTGGATCGCAAGAGGACCTACATTCCATTCCGCTTGCAAGAAGCACGAGGAAGAGACTCGAGATGGACCGGTCCATGCCCCCGCTCCCGCCGGCCGAGCCGCGCCGGGGCGTCCTGCAGACGGCGGCGCCGCGCAAGTCGATCGACTCGATCGAGGTCTCGGCGACCGGCTCCTGGTCCAAGCACCCGCAGCTCTACATGCAGCGCGTCTACTGCGCGCTCGAGTCGTCGCGCAAGTGCGTGGCCACGTGGACGTGCAATGGCACCGCCTTCGCCGTGCTCGACATCCCGGCCTTTGAAGAGGAGATCCTCACGGTCTACTTCAAAGGCATTCGCTTCCACAGCTTTGCGCGCATCCTCAACGGCTACGGCTTTAAGCGGGCGAAGCGCAAGGACGGGACTGCGTACGACTTTCAACACCCGCAGTTTCGCCGCGGCAACTGGAAGAACCTCCCGCGCCTCGCGCCCAAGCGCAAGCCCGTCGAGGAAGTCATGGAGAAGCGCGTCGAGGACCTCACGATCCTCTGCGGCGAGCTGCAGAAGAACCTCAAGGAGATGCGCAACGAGATTGGCCGCCTTCTCCAGGAGGAGGAAGAAGAAGAGCAGCACGAAGAGCGCCAGCGCCGAGCAGCTCAAACCGAACGCAGTCACCACCGCGATGATGATGATGACGAGGAAGAAGAGGAAGAGGACGACGATGACGATGGAGCTTCCGTCGCGTCGTCGTCGTAGCTGCCCTCTATCTATAGTAGTTTTGTGTGTTTAAAGTGTGCGTCCCTTACTTGTCTCGGCGCCGCTTGACACTGGTGCTATCCAGGCGCGTCTGGGCTCCCCACAATTGAACGGGTGCTGGGCTCTTGCCGAGCGGGACGGTCGCAGCTGCCTTTCTATGCAGCCATCCGAGGCAACGCGTAGCAGGGTTGTCTGGTGAACGCCGATCGTCGTCCGGAATTTTGTCGTCGGCCAAAGGTAAATAAATACGTTCTAGTCCGAACTTGTGGCTCAGCCGCGCTCAGAAATGAAATCTAAGTCTGCGCCAGGTCTACTAAAACATCCAAAACAGCGCTGGTACAGGGAGAAGACGTCAAGCGTACAGGTGGTCTTTATATATTTGAAAACTGTCTCGTCTAGTCTTGTCTACGACGAAACGATCGAATTGTTGAGCGATGACGAGACACTCCTTGCCTCGTCCGTCGTCGCAGTGTCATCGAATGCCGCCTCGAGCGCCAGCCAGTCTTCGAGCAGCGACACGAGCTCCCCCCGTTCAAGCTCTGAGAGCTCCACAGGGTCCATCAACGGTCCGAAGAGTTCAGTCTGTGGCTTGAAGCGGTGGCGCCAGCACACGCCGCGCGCTCGTGCGTTGGCGTTGCAGCTCGGGACTAGGCATGGCTTGCCGCCGCCGTGTTGAATGCAGCGTCGGCGCAGGTGAGCGGCCTTAGTGCACCCACTGATCGTGCAGAGCGCCGACTCGGGGGCGCGCCCGTGCTTGGTGCAGAAGGGACCCGACCGCGCATTCGCCGAGCATGCCGGGTGCTGGCACGTCTTTTTGCCGCCGTGGCGCACGCAGAGGTGCCGGGCGTAGACCTGGTTGACGCAGTCGGGTACGCTGCAGACACTCCGGAACCGATGCAGTTGGCACTTGTCGGTGCGCGGTGCGGCGAGGTTGACGCAGCGCTGGAACGAGCAATGGACGAGCGCCATTCTATTTGAAAATGACGTCGCCGACAACCAGACCAAATGGCCGTGGGACCTCGTATCAGGCTCAGGTGGCACCCGACACATGGTCCAGGCGCTTACTCATCCCATGAAAGCAAGCGTCCAGGCCCACCACGGTCCAGGCGACGACGTCTGACGATCACGCAGCGCAGATCAACGTCGTGTGTGGTTCGAGACAGCAACAAGAACGACGCGCTTGGTCCAAATATGGTAGTACTACGTCGACTGGCGTGGACGCGTCCTGTGACGGGGTGGTTGTCTTCTTGATTGATGGCTCAATATTGTATGTCTGTAGTCTGTCGTAGGCAGTCTGTGGTAGGCCATTCGACCTCGCTACGTCTCGTTGCTGTTAATGTTGTGGCGATCTGTCAAGCCTAGCGACACTGTCGTAATGGAGTCCGAACAACTAAACTCAGATGACAGCGAGGTGGACGTGAGCCGCGTACGCCTCAACCGCAACGTATTGGTCGACGCACCACCGCAAGGGAACCATACATTGTTAATATCCCCTTGCACCGGTACTACGCTAGGGTGTACCGACCGTGATGGAGGTCGCTCCACCACCTCCTTTGGAGCTTTTTAAGGTGATCCTGTCCTCCGTGGCGTTACCTAGACTGGTAGACAAGGCTACGACACTCGCTTCTCGTCCATACCACAAATTTCCCACGATAACGCAAAGCTCTACGATCGAGTCGAGTCGACGGCGTCAGCGACGAGGACCATCACGAAGAAAGGGCTTGTAATTTGTGCCAATTACGAAACACCAACTGCACCTATCTCGACAGGCGTGTTGGGTACTATCAAGACCCTTGTCTAGCCAATCTGCAGCGATTTCAAAAGTGAAGTCTTCTTGGGCGGCACGCCTTCAGCGCGCATCGAAGCGTGTCCCGTTTCAAGGCCACCATCTGCGACACTCCGATGACTTTCGCAATGGTTCAGCGCCGCAAACAAGGGAATATTCCCGTGAAGGAATAGGGAAAATTCCCGCAGAAGGAAGGAATGGGAAACTTCCCGTCCAAGGAATGGTCGAAACAAAATGCAATTCAAACTTCATTTTTCCTTGAAACGAGCTACAAAACTACGGCGACTATGGCACAATGTTGTTGGTGATGTGCTGAAACTGGTCGTATCTACGAAAAATGTCAACCTCCGCAGGCGAGAGCGAAGAGCGTACCGGCGGTACCCAAAGCTGTTGAGACTGCGCCGGACGAGCTTCATCACGTGCGGGATCACTTGCTCCGGCGTGAGCTCGAGCGCAAAGAGCTGCTTGGTCTGGAAGAGAATGTCCCGCGGGTTGCGGTGCAGAAAGCACGGGCACGACGAGTCTTGCGCCATGATGGCAATCATCATGAGGATCGTGTCGACGTTTTGCTATCGACATGACGTCAGAAACAGTCCGACAATTTTGCTTAGTACCCGCAGCGCCAAAAACCCTTGGATGAGCAGCGTCACGTACTCGCGAAAGTACTCGGACTGGCTACCGCCCATCGCGTCGACCATCTCGGTTGTGAGCTTGAACGGCACGCGGCGCTCGAGCGAGAAGCGGCCACCTACGCCATAGTTATAAGTCTTGGATAGATCTATAGGTCTTAACGGTACCTGGCTGAATGCCGAGGATAAAACCATAGTCAATGTGAATGAGATGGCCCTCCGAGTCGAGCATGATGTTGCCATTGTGCCGGTCCTTGATGCGCAAGATGTAGCACACGAGCGAGTAGGACGCCATCGACTTGACAAAGTTGGTCATCGCCGTCTTGTACGCCGGGGTATCGGCCGTGCCGTATGTGTGTACAAAGTGCTGGTTGAGGCTCACGTACCCCGGGGTGCCCTTGAGCGACGAGAGCGACGTCGCGTTGCGAATGACTTCGATGATGCCCGTCGACGCCGACGTAGCAATGATGCCGTACGGAAGGAGCCAAAGGTCGAGCTCGGCGCTCGCAAAGATGTCGCGGAATTGCCGAATGAGCTGGAGGCAGAGCACTTCTTGGCGCAGATCGTCGTTCGACTTGACAATGAGCGCGCTGCAGTCCCAATGGTCGGGAAACTGGCACGCAAAGCTCGACGACGCGAGAAGGCGCTTGCGCTTCGACTCGAAATCTTCGCCAAACATCGACTTGACCGCGAGCTGCCGGTTGCGCCGCTTCTCGCGAATGTACTCGCACATGGCCTCGACCTGGCTCTGGAGCTCTTCCCACTGCGCAAACGTCTCGTCGCGGTCCGGCGCCTCGGGCGACACGTGCCGGAGGATCGCAGAGTCGACAAACTGGAGTAGTTCGAGCGTCTTCTCGGGCCGAAGGCGATCAAAGCCCGTGACGAGCTCGCTCACGTCCGTGTCTTCGCGCTCGAGCGACCGGTTGGCGTTCGTGACGCTCGTAAAGCGACTCGTGGTGCCCCGCTTCGTATGCAAAATGGTCGACGCCGAGTTGCCGCCGTCTTCGGGCTTGACTGTGCACACAAAGAGCGTGGTCGCGTCGTTCGTGAAGAGCACCGGCTCGTCATGGTGCGTCACGGTGACTAGACACATCGCATAAGTCGAGGCCGACCAACAAGCCATCCAGTCCTACCGGGCTCGATGAGTTCGTTCGTGAGGAGCTCGCTCCCGAGCCAGAGCGCGTGCGCTTCATTGTGCGAAATGCCCGACGACTGCATCCACTCGATGCACTCGCGACCTGTAAACGAGTAGACGTCTTCGTACGGCTGCACGTGGAGCCCCATGCGCGCGGCGATCGCTTCGACCGTGATGCGCCCGAGCACGACTGTTTGGGACACTGGCGGCGTCGTATCGCTCGCCTTGGAGCTGTTGTCTTTGCTTGCCGGCGCTTTCGGCGGCTTGGAGAGGAAGAAAGCCATCATCTTCATCGCGATCGTCTCCAGCTGCTCGTACGTCGGCTTCTCCGCGTCCGTCGGCATCAGATCGAGGCGAATGCTGCCGCGCTGCCGCTGGAAGCTGTCCGACTTGGACCGCCCTTTTTCCTACACACGCGAATCCGTTGACAATCTATCCACGAGGAAGAGAGCCGCGTACCGTCACGCTGCTTTTCGGCGGCTCGTCCAGCACCTGGATGAGCTGCTCCAAATGGAGCGGGTTGCCGCTGCTGCAGAGACTACCGGACCGGCGCATGCGGCCGCTGCTGCCGAGGTTGAGCGGGTGAGCGGGCGGCGCGTGGGCCATGCTCATGTCGACGCTGCCGTCGACACTCTCATCGTCTTCCTCGTCTTCTTCTGAGAGGGGCTGGACTGCCTCGATGCGGTGCAAGCTGCTCATAATGTTGTCGTGGCGAAGCACTTGGCCAATCTCATCGTGTCCGAGCGACGACGAGACCGGCGGCGGCAGCGCGGCCGACTCCTTCTCTTCGTCCGTCAGCATCGACTGCGCGGGCGTGAGCCAGAGCGTTTCGGGGACGACCGGAAGGTTCTCGACTTCAAACCACACCATGGTCGGGGCGCGCGCCTTTGTCGTAAACACCGCGCCTTCCGTGAGGCAGATCGACACGAGGCGCTGGAGCGGTTCGTCGCACGTGCCCAACGGGTAGAACGCGTGGTCGGGCAGCGTCAGCTTGGCGAGCTCTTCGGGCAGCGCCTCCTTCCGGTTCTTTGGCGGAAGGAAGCGAAGCGCCTCGGCCACTTCGCCGAGGCCGTCGATAAACTTGAGCTGCGTCGCAAACACGCTCTGCTCCATTGACGGGTGGCGCGGTGTCACCTTCATCTTGCTCAACGACGGGAACGACCAGTCGCACGGCAGCACGCAGTTGGCGACGCCCGCGTAAATCGGCCCGAGGAGGAGCGCGCTGTTGGTGCTGAGCGAGCTACTGCCGTTGGACGGCGTCGCTGCAGGAAAGAACCGCGCGGGCGAGGGCAGAAAGTCCGGCGTCACCGCGTTCAGCCCTTCGTCGTACTGCTGCAGCGCCAGGAGCCGGTCAAAGTACGTCTGGATGAGGTCCGTCTGGATCGGCATCGTGCGCAGGTCCGTGTCGGGCGTAAACACAAACGCATGGGCGCCGTCTTGGTGGTTGATCTACCAAAACCACGTCAAATCTTTTCCATCAGTCAAAATCAAAGGGACCAGCATGTGCAAATTGAAGAGGGCGAGCTTGGACGGCGCGAACCGGTTCTTGAGGTACTCGGGGATGCTGAGTTCCGACTGGCCAAAGCCCCAGCCGCACGAGTCGTCGATCGTCGCGCGCATGAGCCAGTGAATCGAGGTCGCAAGGCGCACGTGGTACGTCGCTGCCGTCATGAGAAGCCGCAACAGAAGCGTCCACTTGACGATGTGGGCGTCGTACTCGGTGGACGCCCAGAGGTGAAAGAGCTGCGGCAGGAAAAACTCAAAGTCGGGCATGTGTGACGCGCTGAGCGTCAGCAGCTTTTGGACAATGACGCGGTAGACCTCGTCGGCGTCCTTTCGGTGCAGATGCAGCGCCTGGATTGCGTCCGAGACGCCAAAGTCGGGCTCGTTGATCGCTTCTTGGACCGTCTGCAGCATCGCCATGTCTTCGCTCGACAGCTTGGGCTTGCGCTGCGAGAGGCGCGGTGCATTGCGCATGTGGCGGTTCTTGACAAAGACTTGGAGCACGCAGCGGAGGAGCTGGATGAACCGGTGCACGCGGAAGCAGCGCGTGCATTGCCGCTGCGGCCCCGTGAGCGTCGGCAAGTGCGGCAGCGGCGCAAAGTGGTAGCTGTGGTCCGAGCAGAGACTGTCGCCGCAGTTGCGGCAGTGGTGCTGGCGCTTCGTGTTGTCAAAGCGCACTGTGCACTTGGGGTGCGCGCACGTGGGCGACCCCTTGAATTTCGGTGGTTTTTCCTTCTCCTTGTTCGGGCGGATGAGCGTGAGGCCGCCGGGCGACGCCGCGAGGAGCGACTGCGACTGCGGCAGCAGCGCCGCGTCGCGCATCTGGAGCTGCGCTGCGTCAATGGCCTCGATCGCATACTGCGTCCAGAGCTGCTTCTCGCTCTCGCTGTCGGCCGCCACGTTGAACGTTGCTTGGGACGTCACAAACCGGAACGCGTTCCGGTACAGATGCATCATGCCCTTCCCGTCCCAGTCGTCGATGCGCTGGACCTCGGCCTCCATGTGCGCGTTCGAGAGGTCGCGCGACATCTCCTTCGTGTAGAAGCGGTACACGAGGACGCCGACGAGCCGGCAGTAGTACCGCTTCATGCGGTGGATGCCCGGGCCATGCTCGCGCATGTTGAGAAAGCCCGCGAGCCCAATCGCGCTGATCTCGGTCGAGCTGCCCACGAGGCCAGAGCCCTGCGCGATCTTCTCGGCCGCGGTCATGCGCGATGGCGACTCGGCGTACGACGACGGCGTCCGCGACGACGACGGCGGCGATGGCACGAGGTCCTCGAGCAGGGCGGCCGGCGCCGAGTTGCGCGAGACCACCGTCGGCTCGTCCATGAGGAGCGTGTGGATGGCCGGGATCGCGGGGACGGACCCGGGCCGCGTCTTGGCCTTGGGCGCGTCGGCCATGCTGCGAAATCCCGTTGTTGAAAGTTCGGGTAGGGGAACCCTCTCAAACTCGATATTGCGTGACGTCGCAGTGGCGTCAATCGTGAGTAATTTGCGTTTTGCAGGGCAATGTGCACGTTTTATATAGCGATCGGCGTGGTATTTAAAAAAACGCGCGTGTATTTATAGCGTGCGGATACGTTTCTAGAGGTTTATACGGCAAACGACCGGAATTACGCGCGCATTTGTTCCCGAGTTACGAGTGTGTCGGCCAAAGGCACCAACGACATGTCTTCGTGCTCCGTAGTCCTTTGTGCAATTATAACGAGTTCGGACAATATAATAATAGTTATGGAATTGTTTATAGAAGAGCGCTATAACGCGGTCCGAGACAGTGTTGGGGACCTGGTTGGGGAAACAAAGTCGTCCGTCAAGGGCGGACAGAGGTGATGAGCCGCTTGTCTCGGAGGGTGCATACATAGCAGGTCTTGTCGCTGCGAGGGGTTGTCTCTTGAATTCTGTGTCGCTGAGCTGGGCGAAATCTTGCTCGATACGCACTGCTAATATAGGGCGGAGGTCTAGAAGAGTGTCGGGTGAACGCCACCTCTGAGGGCCTCTTTTTGGTCCACCGCATGCGTGCGACGACGCAAAGTGGTGAGCCCCCGCTCGATAGCGTCGCATCGCAGTTGCAACAGGTTGTGTTGCGTAGGAGCTCAGCATCTCGCATGCGACCGAGTGTCGTAAGCAGTCACATACGTGCATTCAAAGGCCGGATTGAATCCACTACAATTTCAATAGGAATAGAATCCGCTAGAATTTCATCGAAAATCCACAAGAATTTAATTGTATCCGACTCCATCGAGTCGGCTTCGTTTGCTCGTACAATGACAATCTGACCTGTAAAAGGCTGAGCTGTGTTATCCAAGCGGTCGTAAGCCACATCCCGGTGATTGCATTTAGGGGTAACGTTAGGGCGATACGCTGGGACTGGACAATATGCAGCTTGCAAGTATGGAAGGTATGCTGCACCGGTTTCAAGGCCTCGCATGGCGGCCCCAAGCCACACTAGTAGTATGCATATCGTGCGAGCAACGCCTCGTAGGACACGCGAAACGATGGCCATCTGAAGACATACTTGTACATATAAACAAGCTATTTTTTGGCTGGATTTGGGTGACGCCATTCCAAGGGCACCTGGTGCCTTAGGCGGAGCGGCTTGCCGCGACGCCCGCAGGGCCAT